GGCTCCCATCTCTGCACCCCACATCTAAGTCTCTCTCTGAACCCTCTTCCGTCTGTCTCTGGGCTGCCCTGTCTCTGCACCCCAAATCTGAGTCTCTCTGTCCCTGCCATCTCTGAGCTTAATTGTCTCTGAACCCTGCGTCACTTTGTCTCTGGGCTCCCTTCTCTGCACCCCCTGTCTCTGCACCCCAAATCTAAGTCACTGTCTCTGAACCCCACTCCGTCTGTCTCTGGGTTCCCCTGTCTCTACAATCCCTGTCTCTGTCCCCCATCTCTGCATCTCTCTGAGCCCCCCATCTCTGAGTCTCTCCGTCCCTGGCCCCCCATTTCTATCTCTCTCTGAAACCCCCCCACTCTGATTCTCTCTGCCCCCCCCCATCTCGGCATCTCTCGAGCCTCTGAGTGTGGCTCATGTGTCTCTCCTGTGCCTGCGCAGGCCCCTGGATGTCGAGGAGCCCGGGGCCGCCGGGACCCCCCGAGGAGGGGGGCGCGCCGCCCCCTGGGGCCGAGCCCCCCGTGCCCGTGTATCACGAGCGGCAGCGCCTGGAGCTGTGCGCGGTGCACGCGCTCAACAACGTCCTGCAGCAGCGGCTCTTTAGCCAGGAGGCAGCCGATGAGATCTGCAAAAGGTGACCGCCCCCCAGGGCCCCCTGCGGCTGCGGGCACGCCTGCTCAGGCCCACTCCCACGCGTCATCCCCTGGGGCGCAGCTTCAAGGGCCCGAGGGGGTCAGCAGTGGACAGGGGCCCGGGCCAAGGCACGAGGTCCTCTTTGGGCCTGCTTCCCCATTGGGAAGGCTGAACGAGTGATCCCTTCCCTGGGACGGTGAAGGCCCAGAGGAGGGGAGCGAGGGGCCGCACGTCCTGCAGCCTTCCTAGAGGCCCAGAGAAGGCCCTTAGCGCCAGCCAGTCTTCTCATTTTACAGATGGGGAAACTGAGGCTCAGCGACGGAGAATGGGGGGAGGGGCGCTGTAGTCACCAACCTGGCAAAGGAGGAAGATGAGAGAGGCTGGTCTTGAATGCCCTGCTAAGGAGGGAGAGCTCCCTTCCGGACCTAGGGAGCCATAGCAGGTTCTTGAGAATGAAGGAATGAGGGCAAAGCCGAGCATGAGCCAGCCCCCAGGGCCCTAGGTGGGCGAGAGGCCACGCTGGGACTCACGGAACTTGCGGCCCTCCGAGGAGGGCCCTCTCGGCCCTAGCTTCTGCTTGCCAGAGGCCAGGGTCTGCGGGTGGGGGTTAAGGTGGGAGCCCAGGAGGGCATGGTCAGGAGAGCAGGCGGGGGTCAGGGCCAGCTGCCGAGAGGACCAGCCGACTTGCACTCTCCGAGCGGGTCCAGGGCCACGGGGCAACTTTCATGTTACAAAGAGGCAAAAAAAAGGACCCTGCCCTCAGGGAGCTCCCGATCTAGTGGAGACCACCACCGCAGACATACTTCAAACACGCTGTGTGCCGGATAAATAGCAGCTAATTAAGAATTAAGGGGGGCTGGGGAAGGCATCCTATGGAAGGATTCAGTAGTCTGTGCGGGGGAGGGAGATGGCCCCCCAGGCCTGGGGAACGACCACAGAGGGTCAGGAGCCGAGAAGGCCGGGGTCCCCGGACAGAAGAGCACGTGCTAGGGCGCGAGACTGGAAAGGTGGGAGGCAGCCGGGCCACGCAGGGCTTTGAATGAGGAGCACGGGGTTTTGTACTTGATTCTGGAGGCCATAGGAAGCCACTGGAGGTTATTGAGAAGGGGGTGAGATGGTCAGACCTGAGCTTTAGGAAAATCCCTTTGGGGGCTGACTGGAGGATGGACCAGAGGGGAAGAGCCCGGGGCAGGCAGATCCCCCAGCATCCATTGCAGGCAGCGATCCAGACGTGAAGTGCTGAGTCTTGGGGAGAGGGGGTGGGGAAGGGCAGAGGAGAGAAGGCCAGGGAGGTCTGCCGAGGTGTCCCCAGGGTCTGCTGGCCCATTCAACAAAACAAACATTCATTATGCTCTTGCTGTATGCAAGGCCACGTCTCTGGCCCAGGGGCTGATACAAAGACAAAAGGAAAGGCCGAGCCTGGGGGGGGGGGGGCGGCTCACGAGGAGTTTTCCCCATTGGGGCGCCTCCCCTCCCTCCTGGGGTGCTCACTGTCTCTAAGTGACCTGGAGGGGGACAGAGTCTTACTTCTGACTCTGCCGTTCCCATCTCTTGGGGGGCTCCTGGCCGTGGAGGCGCAGGGAGTCCCCACGGGACCCGAGCACACCTTCCATCTGGGCCCTCCCTGCTGCCCCCTCCAGGTTGGCCCCCGATTCCCGCCTGAACCCTCATCGAAGCCTCCTGGGCACTGGGAACTACGACGTGAATGTCATCATGGCAGCACTTCAGGGCCTGGGGCTGGCTGCTGTGTGGTGGGACCGGCGGCGGTGAGAGCCTCAGCTGGGCGGGAGGGAGGGGGAGAGGGGGGGCGAGGAGGGAGGGGGGAGGGCGAGGAGGGAGAGGGGAGAGTGAGGAAAGAGGGGGAGAGGGCGAGGGGAGGAGGGAGAGGACGAGGAGGGAGGGAGAGGGGAGGACGAGGAGGGAAGGAGAGGGGAGGACGAGGAGGGAGGGGCGTCCCAACGGGCGGCGTCCAGCTGAGCCCCCCTCCTGGCCGTGTTCCCCAGGCCCTTGGCCCAGCTTGTCTTGCCCCAGGTCCTAGGCTTCATCCTGAACCTGCCCTCCCCTGTCTCCCTGGGCCTACTGTCCCTTCCCCTGCAGCGGCGGCACTGGGTGGCCCTGCGCCAGGTGGGCAACGTTTACTACAACTTGGACTCAAAGCTTCGGGAGCCCATGGCCCTGGGGGGCGAGGCCGAGCTCAGGTGAGGGGCCCCCCAGGGAGTGCCAGAGGGAGGGCTCGTGGCTGCACTGAGGGGGGCAGAGGCTTGTGGGGAGCGCGCTGGGGGCTGGGTGGGCCCAGAAACCTGCCTAGCCCAAGGCGCCTGCCATGCTCCCCCATGCTCCCCTTCTCCTTCAGGGACTTCCTCTCAGCTGCCCTGGCCGAGGGCCCGTGTGAGGTGCTCCTGGTAGTAACCAAAGAGGTGGAAGCAGCGGGCAGCTGGCTGCAGGCGGCCTGAGCGCCCCCTCCCCTGGCAGCAGGTCTTGAGGGACTCCCACAGCCTGGGCCCCCTGCCCAGAGGCGACTACCTCTCCCTGTCACATTGCTGCTGTCCTCTCCCCACATTCCCTGCCTCTCCTGGCAGCCCCAGTCCTGGGGCGTCTGCCTTCCCAGTGTCTCTGCCCTCCCTGCCTTAGCTTCTGTCCCTCCCGCTTTCAGTGTCTCTGGAGAGTGTCAGGAGCACCTGCTGAAGGCCTCGCTCGGTGGGGGGAGGACAAATGGGGAAGGGCCTGGAGGGGGGCCAGGAATGCTTCTCAGCTGCTGCCCCCGCAGCCACTTCCTTAATAAACCTCGCGCCAGGCTGGCGCCTGTGGGGCCCCGCTGCACCTGGGGCCCTCCTCAGCCTTATCTCCCCTCACTCCCCTCCAGGCTCCAAGTGCTCCAACTAGATTAGGACCTCTCCTGTGTCCCTGGCCCAGCCTTCCCCTCTGCTCCCCTCCTCTCTTCCTCAGGAGTCAGGTTCCATTGATCCAGCAGCTCCATCCCCAGCATGTGCTGGGTGCCAAGGGCCAGTGCGCAGGGCTCCCAGCCTGGGGCCTCCACATGGGAAGGAGCCGCCCCAGGGCCTGTGTTGGCAGCCTCCTGCCATGAGCTGGGCAGGGAGGCAGCCAGCCTCTGCTCAGATCTAGGGCTCAGGGGCCACAGGGCTGGACTTCCTGGGGCCCTGTGGGGCTGTGTGCCCCGGGCAAGTTATTTCACCTTCTGGAGACTGACTTTCCTCATCTGTAAAATGGGGATAAACATAGCCCCCGCCTCACAGGGCAGGCGAGAGCTAATGGATGCCAGTACTTGGCCAGCCTTCGAAGCCCGCCATTATGGTATTGATTACAACTACACCCGCATTCTATGTCTCTGACAAGCACATTAAAAAACCTCTCAAGTGCTATTGGAGGGCTGAGGGTCATGGTCCTTGCAGGTGGAGGGAGGGGAGGGCTGGGGAATGTCCTGATCTGACTAGAACTGCATGTGTAGGCAGCAGTGCCAGGCCCAGGGAACTTTAGTCAGTCAGCAGGCATTCAGTACCGAGGACAGTCTGGAGGACAGCAGGCAGCCTTCTAAGAGGGCTACTGGGGTGGTCCAGGTTTGTGGCAGACGGGAAAGAAAGGGCAGGATGTGAGGGACAAGGAACCGTGGGGGGCGTGACCCACAGAGGAGTCCAAAGTTGGGCCTGCTCAGGAGAAACAGGTGGGGAATCTGAGGTGCGGGGTGGGGCCTCCCTAGAGACTGGGAGCCGCTGGGGTGACAGCTGGGAGGAGGCCTCTGGCCCCTCGGCATCCCTCTCCCATTGTCTGTTTCCTACATGCCTGTCCCTGTCTGTCTCTGTCCATCTCGTTCCCTGGGTGTGTCTGTCCCCACTCCCAACTCAGTTGGTGTCAGCTCAGGGGTTTCTATTCTTGGGCCTATGGCTTGTCCGAGGGGCCTCTCGAAGAAGCCAAAAATGGCCCTGGGACAGGTGGAAAGACACAACCCCCACCGCTCGCTGCCCTGGCAGGGCACGCCCAGCTGTCTGGTGGGGCTCAGGCTGGGCTGGGGCTGATGACAGCTGAGGAGCCCGATTTAGCTTCAGTGGAGCCTTGGGGTCTGGGCCTGTGATAAGGGCGGAGGTGGAAGGCAGCCCCTCATTGGCAGGGGCCTGGGCCAGGGGCCCTTATAATGGGGCTGCCTGGGCTGGGGCTGCCCTGGAGGAGGACACACAGGTGAGAAGGGCTGGGATGGGAGGCGTGGGAGGGCAGGATGGGCATCGGTTGTCCAGTTCCTTGTCTGTCTGCCCCTTTCTGTGTCTGAGCCTTTCCTCTGTGCCTCTCCCTCTCCGTCCTGTTTTGTCCCCCTCTGTCTTTGTCTCCTCTCTCTCGTCTGTCCTCTCCTCTTTCTCTGCCTTCTCTACTTTTCTCATCTCCCTCTTTCCTTTCTGCCATTCTCTCTCTCTCTCTCTCTCTCTCTCTCTCTCTCTCTCTC